CAAACCATTTAGAGATCATGAATATTTGGGATGAAAGAATAATCCTTCTCATGGCTTGATTAAAACCGTTGACGTAACATCTTCTGATTCGAACATTTATCTCAAAAGAATCATTTCAATCCAAGTAGACAACAAAGATAGTTGGACGTCATTTCTCAAATTCGTTAACCAAGACCACCGTGAGGTAAATACTACCCCATCATCATAAAAATTTTGCAAAGAAATTTATGGTAAGGAATCTTGTCGAAAGTTACTATCAGCAAATAGTACAAAATGTTGAACAAGATGATATATGAGAAGCATTGTGAGTTGTGAGATTGTTTTATGTTTTTATGGAAAACTCGATTCTGATGTAGTTTACATATATAGGAACAATGTGGAATACATTATACATGTAATGTTTGATGGTTCGGCTACGGGGACGCTCATGACTGAAGAGTTCAAATATACTAGGTGGTGATGCCGCGCCTTGTTGCGAGGCAGAGATGGCCTATTGGTAGGGGTGGATATACGGCCCGGTCCGGTTAAATTGGTTCGAATCGATCCGGTCCTGATCCGGTCTTTTCGGGAATATAAGGACTAAAGATTGGATTGGATACAGTTTGGTCTTGATCCGGTCTGATTTTAACCCGGTCTGGTCCCAATTCGATCTTGATTTTAGATTAACCTTGTGGAAATTTGAGTGGCCTGAGACCTCAAAAGATGAGGAGTTGGTTAAATTTTGGGTGTTGGGCTCTCTTATCCAGTCTTTATCCGATTTTCGATCCGGTCCCAAACGATTTTTTTTACCTCAAATCTAAGCTCGAAGATGTGATTGGATTGCTTTCTATCTAGTTCTGATCCGGTCCCGGTACGGATTATACGGTCCGGTTTCTGGTAAACCCTAAAATCCCGAACCAAATAGCCAGCCCTACCTATTGGCATGTATTATGTGGCCCGTTATGGTGTTTTCTTAGTATTATTAGTCTAAATCTAACTTTTTGTTAGCAAGTTTGTTAGTAATAGTGACTGGATAATATGATCTTGACTGAGAAGAGACATATGGCGGTGAACATCCAATTTTGAAAATTTTGATATATACCTAAAACCCAAGTAGACTCATTGATCATGGGTAGGGTATGGGTGACGTATATGTGGTTTGGAAGTTTGTAGATGAGTTTGGGTAGGGTATGGATACTTATTTCCATAATCTAAATGTGTATGAGTTGGGTATGGATATCCATGGATTCAAGTGAAATCTAAACATTAGACAATATGTAAATTTAAAAAATTGTAGGTACGAAAATCTCATAAAATGTAGATACCAAAACATAATTGTTCAATGAATTCACATTAAAATTAAATTTGGGGTATCAAAATGCAAAATGTACAATATAGTGACTAAGTTGTGATTTATTTAAATTTGGGGTATCAAAAAGTAAGTTTTTATGCAATAGTAAACTTACTTCAGCTAATGATATATACCCAAGTAGACCCATCGATTATGGGTAGGATATGAGTGACGTATATGTGGGTTTTGAAGTTTGTAGATGGGTTTGGGTAGGGTATGGATACTTACTTCCATAATCTAAATGTGTATGAGTTGGGTATGGATATCCATGGATTCATGGATTCAAGTGAAATCTAAACACTGGACCAATCTGTAAATTTTAAAAATTCCAGGTATGAAAATCTCATAAAATGTAGATACCAAAACATAATTTTCAGTGAATTTATATTAAAATTAAATTTGGGATATCAAAATGCAAAATATACATTATAGTGACTAAATTGTGCTTTAATTAAATTTGAGGTATCAAAAAGTAAGTTTTTATTCAACAATAAACTTACTTCAGCTTTTTATATATTGATGTTTCCTCTAAATCTTAGAATTAAGCTACCAAAATCTTACACAAAAACTCATTGACACTCTGGTCTCTGGACAACAATTGGAGGAGTAGGGCTGGTGGGAGCACCCCAAAACTGGTGACAAACAATTAGCATTAACCCTGCCCTTTGGGCAGGTGATTTTTTAATTTATGTGTATATGTGTAATATAATTATAAAGCAATAATTTTCTAAAACCGCACAGTTAGTTTCCATCACAAAAATAAAGGCATAGAGGCAGCACGAAAAGAGAAAGAAATCTCGCATCTCAACTTATAGTTAAAATTCAAAAGAAACATAAGAAGGTCCGTCTATCTTGATGAAGTTCTTCGGGGGAAGTTTGGTGGGCATATAGTGTCGTCTTGTGGTGGGAAGCTCGATCAATCTATAAGGAAGAATCGTACGTGAATTGATGGTCAATCCTCCCACCCAAATAGTAAGGATTATTTAACATATGTTAGTGAGTGAAACAAATATAGATACAAAATATCTCTATTTATGATATATCGAGATTTTAGAATTTGTAATCTCTAAACCTACAATGCACATATAAAATGGAGAAAGAAACCATATTCGTTAAATCTCTAAATTCTATGAATCTATACTTCGGATTTCATTCTCCAAATGACCTCTTGATTAATTTACCATTAATAATTTAAAACATATTTTCAATTAAAAATTATTATGATTATTATTTAGATGACTTGCATTATTATTATTGGGGATAAGTAATCATCACAAATCATTATAATTTACTTCGTCATCTCTTTCCTCCCATATCTCCATCCAAAATAAATTGATCAAAAAGAAAAAAGAGAACAACCTGTGCAAGGAGGAGTCTAGGGGACGGTTTAAACTTTAAAGGGGTAAGAAATATAAGCAGTTAGCCTGAACAAAAAATATTGACATAGAGGCGAACGCGAATGGTAAAAAAAATTAAAAACTTAGATTACCGAAAATCGCGGTCAGGCTTTTGAGGCTGAGGTGGTGAGGGTCCTAACCTTAATCCTCTTTAATATATTTTAAGATAAGATTAGGACGAAAAAATAGGGGGGGAGGGGTAAATAGTGGGATGCACTATCCAATTTCTCCTCAAACGATCGAAATTCTTTCTGTGGTTGAATTAAGCCCATGAATGTATCGTCGTTCGATTTGAACTATTCATGGAATTATGAATATTGAGGGGGAAGAATTATCCTTCCCACAACTCAATTAAAACATAGACGTGTCATCTTTTTATCCGGACTTCTTCTCAGATCCATTAACCAATACAATCGTGAGGTTAACGTTGCCTCGTCATCATAAAAATTTGGCAAAGAAATGTATGTCAATGAATGTTACTATCAACAAATAATACAAAATGTTGAACAAGATGATTTTTAAGTAGCATTATGAAATTACTTTGATGTATTTCTAGAAAACTTGATCCTCAATTCCTCATGTAATTTACATGTGGCAATAATGTGGAATGCAGATAATGTTTGATGGTTTGGCTAGGAAGAAGCTCAAGCTACATTAAGAGAGGTTAGATTGAAGCATTCAAACGTATATTCTCTCTAATTTTATCGTATAAGACTGCCTAAATCTCACACAGTAACTCATAGACACTTTAGACAACATGTTGGAGTTGGGGGTGTGGTGGTGTGTGATACCTGAGAATGGGTCTTCAAGATGAAGCAAATTTGATTTTGAGCACATCCCCAAGAAAGCTAATAAGGTGCAATGGGATGAAGAGTTCATTCATTGTTTGTCCATGCTCTCTTCGTGGGCAGTTTCAACAATTTATAACCAATATCAAAAGTAACATTTTTTTTTTTATGAATTATATCAAAAGGAACATTGTTTGAATACAAAGTCTAAACGATGCATTATGTACACTTCTCATAAATACCTTGCTTTCACCACCATCTACTCTCAATATTTGATGAGTTGGCTTCCCTATGTCATCTATTTCCACCATAAGGTTACAAGGATCATTGGCTCCAATTTGTAGGCTCGGACAACGATGTTTGATTTCGTTACCATTAGACGTGTAATGTATGCCCATGGTATGAAGAAAACAGATGCACTAGGTTCAATTTTAAGTATCAAATGAATGCATTTTCACGTATTGATTAATCTTATTGTCTCATAATATTACATTATGTAAAATATTGGCTATATCAGGACAAGTACCCGAATAAGGTCTATATCATAATTTTAAGGATCATTGAGATCATATGTCATGATCTATTTTCTTATACCCAATTTTCCAATCCAATCACGATGGTTAAGAACTTAAAATTTTATTTTGATTTCTAATGACATCTACCTCGATTTAGTATAAAATGTATTTTCAACATTAATTGACTGATATATCTTTTGGCAACCTGCCTAGGTACAAGTATGGACCAATTATCTAGTATAGATACATAGTCACAATTGATGTGTAAATAATCGACCATTAATTCATCCATATGAAATGCATCCTGCCAAATCAATAACCCATGAACTATGTTTAACCCAATAGTATGTTCCCCTAATAACCTATAGCTTCCATTAAGTCATATGATCCATGTTCGGTGTACTAATCTAATGTCTACGAATTGGATTTTTATTTAACTACCACAACTTCTTGTGATTCAAACGGAACAACTATTTTAACATTTGGAATTAAAAATCGGGATGTTACTATAAAACGAGAATAATTAATTATCGAGAACTAAGCACGTATTGGAGAACGGGATTTAGGCCGTGGATTCATTGAATCAGTAGATTTTATAGAAAGCTATGTTTTTTTGTTGCTTTTTGTATTGTGAATTTTAGCTTTAGAGATTTCAAATCTCTAAAATCTATGGATATCAAATCTCTCATAATCAGAGAGATTCTATATCTTGATTCATGAGATTATATTTCCTCCTACCTTTTCTCTTTCTTTTATTTATTTATCATATTAAATATATTTACCAACAAAGTTTTTAATATTTCTCGAGCTACTCTAATTTTTTATTAAGGATAAACATGTTATTTAATATAAATTTTTTATTTTTATTATCATTGAATGTTAACAATCACAGTTACCAAACAATAAACATTTTAAAATCTATTTTCAACAATCTATAGATTTAAACTCATATTCTCCAAACGAACCCCGTAATCCACCATTAACCATATTCTCAAAAGAAAATTGTATGAATCGTTTACTTCGCTTTTTGTTTTTATATTTTGTTTTGTTTGTGAAAAGAGAACCACAAAAAATAGTATTTGTTCCCTGTTTCGATTTAACAAATTCACGGCTTATCGGTAATAACAACCTACGCCTTATGACGAGGACACATCCAACTTCTCCAAAACTTACTTGAAGTTCGCCATAAATCTATCGACCTATATATATGCAATGACATTCTCCTCTCCCTGCCACAATCAAGCAGTAAAAGAAATCAAGCAACCATCCACATTCTTTGCTGCCAAACAACAACAAAAATGGGATTCTCCATTGCACCTTCTGTGATCATTCCACAGGCCATCTTCATCATGTTGCAGCTTCCACTACTAACGAACGCTAGACCACTATTTTCACCAATGGCGATCACCCCTGCTTCTGCGCCTGCTCCAAGCCCCGCTGCTGCAACGAACCTGATCGGTGAAGTTTGCAAGAAAAGCAACATCGATCCGACGCTCTGCATCGCGACCCTGCGATCGATTCCCGGAGCAGCATCAGCGTTCGAGGACATCAAAGCTCTGGCCGAACTCGTAATGCAGGCCGCCAAGGAAGAGTCGGAGGCCGTGGGTGAGATGTTCGGCGAGATTCTGGGCAGCGAAGACGACGCGAAGAACCCAAAGTTCAAGCATTCGCTGGAGTTGTGTGCTCTCGACTATAATGATGCGGCCATCTTCTTCACGACCAGAGGGCTGGGGGACGTGACGAAGAGTTTGGAAATACATTCTGCTTTGGATAACTCTCAGAACTGCGACGGCGAGCTGGTGAAGATCACGAACCATGGTGGTGCCGGACTGATCGATGACTCGATATCGGCTGCTATTCAGAGGTGGAAGAATCTGTACGCGGTGGCCAATGGAGTCGTGCTGTATGCTGAAGATGTGTTCAAAGGCAACCCTGTTGATGATGGCCAAGGAGATGACGACTGCGGACCAGATTACTGAACCTGCTATCCATCTATATCTATAGGAATTGTAAGGATTATTATGAAGTGTTTTCATGGAAGGAATTGAGGAAACACGAAAAGAAGTCTTTTGAAGTGTAGTTAGGGCTTCATAATAACTGCTGCTTTTAGGAGTGGAAAGTGGAAAATAAACTTGAGAGAGATATGTAAAAGAAAGACTTAACCATCCAAACAACTTGGCAATGTATGAAAGAACAGGAACTTCAACATTTCTATGAACAGGCTGGTAACTATGGGACTAGATTTCCTTCCTTTCCAAAGTAAATTTCTATGCAAAAACTACCAGATGAGCGGCAAAAAGAAAACAGATGATAGTTCCATTTGACAGGATTTGATGGATTTGAGGGACCATCTCTGCTCCATACTACCAAATTGAATCATGACAGCAAAGTTGGAGGACAGAATGGGTATACATGGGTCTGCAAGAATATATTCTAGACCAAGAGGTCACTCTTAAGATGGATCCAAGTTGGGAACAATTGCAGATGACAATTCAATATGAGAAACACGAACTGCCCCAATCAACCGTTCCGGCAACTCATCTGTAGCGTTTGCCTGCACGAATTGCATCATAGTAACTTCAAGTAGGGTTGAGCTGAACATTAAAGTGAGAGGAGCTGTAACTTGAATAGAAGCGCAAAATTGCGTCAAACAAAAGGTCAATTTGTTTCAGATTTGAAGGATTAGGCTGGTAAGCAATGTCAGATAAAATGTGTACCTGTACAAGGAAAGCCATATCAACCACCAAGGTAGTAATAACGCCAATTACAAGGCCCAGTACCCCATTAGCAACGGTGGAAGAACCAATATCGACGTCCACCTATGTTCATAAACCATCATCAGACAAACGAATCGTATCATGGTGGGGCTTGACAAGAATTTTCAGTAATATACAAAGTCCCAGACAGTCCTTACTTCAAGGTAGTCTGGGCCACGGATGTAGTTGCAGTCAACTGCTTTCCCCAATAAACATGGGGTACTTCCTACACTCTGGCGTACAATCCATGAGCCCTGTGGGTTTCACATATAGACACAAATTTATACACATTCTGAGTTTTGAGAACTCTAGGGAGTGTTTCATGCAATCAAAATTCCAATGTCAGTGTATCGTCTCAATCACTGTTCAGTTCAGATGAAAATGGAGAGGGAGCTCATCTATTGATCAAAGAGGTGGAAGCTATAGATGGATCTATTTACAACGTTACAAAAGCTCTAGCAAGAAAACATTAATTTATCATTCAGCACAGGCTATCAGGGAGGAGAAACTACCTTGGGAACTGATGGAATAAGTTTGAACCTACTGTTGCGGAATTCATCATCTCCATCAACAAACCGTTGCAACAGAGATCCAGGTACTAATGCTTTCGTCACAAAGTAAAACACCATGCTGTAATGAGTTGAAGCAGGGACCTGCATAACGATATAAAGTTACATCAAGGACCAAATTGTCCACAGAAACAAATGTGATTTTATCGTCCAAAACAATTAACTTACTTGCAGATTAAAGACCACAGTGAAGAGTCCTTTCTCCGAAGCAACCTAAAACCATAATATACCAGCAAAGGTAAAGCCATAAACTCGCGCTGGATATGAAGCTTGAAGAGAAGACAAACGAGAAATGCCAAATCCCACCCAGATATTAAAAGAACGATGAACTCTGAGGATAGATCAGATGAACTGAATAAGATTTTATCCTTTCATGCCTAAATTCACTCATCCTCTGGTTATTTTCCCCAAGTTTTCCACAATTTGAACCCTTTTATGTAACACTAGACTACTCGGTCGAAGAAGGCTCTGTTTGCCCTGATGTAGCTTTACAAACTCAAATTCTGATTTGAGCTTTCAGAGAAGTGCGGTGAAAAACAATTGAGCATTTGGTTACTAAATTATCAAACGTACTTTTTAAAATAAGTTTTGTTAATGACTAAAAAGGACATTCAAATATCAATAAAAATCAAGAAAAATAGTCAAAATGAATCTTGTTGAATTTTGCACATGTTAGCTAGATTATTTGAATTATTAAAATAAGTTAAATAAAAAAATTTGTTTGAGAAAGATAATAATAAAAAAGGAAAATACTGTACTTCCAAACAGCTTTTCACAGAAACTCCATATCAAAACTTATGCTTCCAAGCTTAACCGAAAGCCCGATTTTGCGAAATGTTTGGCCCGATTATGCTTTTGGAGCAGGAAAGCTATTGGAAAAGCCAGGCCAAACATATGCGAAAAAGAAGATATGACACTAGGCTACAAGTCTTTGGCCAATTTACCCTTAGCAGTTAAACACAGACTAGCTGGCTTCGCTGTCCAGCAGGATATATTCATACAGTATTTCTCTTCCAGTTCTAGAGATCTTTGGGCAATAATTTCAATGCGAGAATTCAGAACAAACGACAAAATAGACTCACGTGACCAACCATTGGGAAAATGTGCACGTGGAAGCACTCAGAATGTGGTGCACCATACAGCGGCATACAATGTGTGAAACAAGTTCATTTGATGGTGCTAAAGGTGTAGGAAATGATGGAAGAAAGACTTCTTACTTGTGCTGCACATCCTTGACGCCTTGCCACATGATCCATTCTTTTTGTGTCCTTGAACCAATCAACAGCAACTAGATCCATTAAGTGTTTTCCTGCGGGGATCTGCATAAAATGCCCCATGCATTCGGAAAACAATTATAAACATGTTATCTTACCAAAACAACAGAGAACTAAGTACCATAGGTAAGTCACCTTAGTTTTGTCAAAACAAAAATTCTTGCTGCGCACTCTAAAGTTGTTCCCATCAGAAACTTTCCAGCAATCACGGGCATTTTCTCGCTCATCAAACCGTAGATTACCCACAAACCAGGATAGGTCAATCTTATCTCCAGGTTCTTCTTCGGAAGCTTCATATTGAGAATTCTCTGATTAGATGGAAAAAGGTAACAGCACAAGCGAATCTGTGAATTTAAACACTTTTCTGGCCAGCATTCACCTGCTTTCTTCACATCATTCTCCTGACTTATTAGGTAAGCCTAAGTAGAAGAGAGAAATACAGTGTCAGAAGAAAATGTGGACAATAAATTTTTCAAGAAATTAGGGAACAACTCTCAGCAACCAGCCAACCTCCTGCTCTTCTTCAGCAATTTGAAATTCTTCATCCTCGTCAGAGTACTCATCCATCATGGCTGAGTTTCGGCCTGCCGTATTTATTTGATCAAGAGAAGCAGAGCGATGATGAACAGAAGATTCTTGCAACTTTAGACTCTTCTTAGAAGAAATAGAAGCAGAGGCCATGTTGACCATAACAGGTATTCTTGGTGGAGCCCCTCTTTCATCTGATTGGGCAAACCATTCACGCAATCCTGAAAAAGGGAGATACTTGAAAAACCTCAAAGTAGGACAATGATGATATGTTATCATACAGATTTAAATAAATTCGAGCTCCTATAGTCTAATCATCAATTGGTGTTCTTAACATGCACAACTTAATCAGAACCAAAACAAAATTGCATGCATCGAGTAATCCCATGGAAAGACACACAAACAGGCATCAAAATACTAGGGAACTCGTAGAATTATTGTATATTAAATGTAAATGATATAAACATAATATTTAAGGAAATGGTAAAAGGTTCGTTCTTGGATGTTCTCAAACAACTCAAGTTGATGGAGCAAACTAGGTGTTAACATGGCATCTGAGACTCTGATAAGCGAAAGAGCATGTTTTCGATTCCTGGTAACCGCCAATATTACAGTAGATTTGAGGACCATATCCATGGTTTGAATTTCATATGAAGGAGGTGTGTCACAATAAGGTACAAGATCCACTTTTGGGAACTTTTTCAATAGCGCAACTTTTTCTTTATATGACCTAACCACATAATAAGCAATACATGTCATATATACTCTTAAAACAAAATCAGGACAAAACAGAGGAAGGCAGAGGACGGCTTAATTAGTTATCAGAATGTTCACCATCAAACAAGCTACTGTAATTTCTCAGCTTCAAAGGCATAAGAAACAATAATGCTATAAGCCAGAGATCATGTTAAATGCCAGACTTAAGAGTTTACTATGGGATAGTTTTCAAGTACAAAGCAAAGATATCCATGGGGTAGTTTCTATAGTTGGCTGCAAAGCGCAACAATAGAATGTGGACCTTCACCAAAAACGTATCTGTCTTACTAAGTGTCCAGCTTACACACAAAAAGAAAGCAAGGCTGACATGTAATAGACAATCTAAGCATCCAGCAACAAATGCCATTAGTCATTTGAAAGTGAAGGAGTTTTAAGTAGATTTATACAAGCAAACACATACCAGCGACACTATTCAGCATCTGAAGGAGGCAGTGCTGCTGAAAAGATGAAATATAACCCACCCCCCATCCTTTCAAATCAATCTGGATAAGATGCTGAACCTGTGATCTGGGTCTCCCATTCCTAGGTTTCAGAGGAGAAATATTGAACCCGCCACCTGTAAATAGGCGAATTTACCATCGCAGAAACCAAAACAATGGCCATACCCTGAATTTATAAGTACACCAAAAAGCATTCTAACTTACTCTCAATATGAGCCCGCACGTAACCTGGTTGTGGACCACAATTCTCATGCTCTCTAGACCGAAACAAGACAACTGAAAGAGAAAAAAAAAAGACTCAGTTTCTAAGCCAGTCCAAATATAGGTGTCAACAAGGATTGAAAGATGAAAACAACTTACCATAACTGCCATCGTCATTTCGACGCCAATAACGTACATAACAAAGATCGCGTGGCCAGACAACCCTACAGACAGTCAGCACACAAGCACCAAAGTTGGGATGAATTCAGTAGAGAACAAACATAATGAGCACGGGGACCAATTTAAATCCACAGTGAATTGTTTTGAATAGCGTTCAGGCCAAGTAAACACAGCAGATCCAGTTCATACCCCACTCTCTCTTCCCTCCAATTTTGCTAGTAAAGTTAATGACAAAAGACACATTATGAAGTTATCAGAGACACAAACTCACAGCAACAAAAAAAAATAACTCACTTTACTTTGAACAGAGCCCAACTCTCTGCAGTCATCAATATCAATAGGCTTTCACCTCAACATCTTAACCACATGATAGGAAAATCTTATTCACACAGGCAACCATTATTAAAACATTATATTCACTACTCTGAAAAAGCTTACTGCATAGTAGCTTCAAACCATCAGCCTTGACAACTTCTTTGCATGCACAAGCACCAGTAATTTGACAATTCAGAATAATGAAATACAAATTTTGAAACAAATTGATCTTTCTCTCGATGAGGAGAATGAAAATATACTTTCAGGACCCTAACATACTTGAGGAGAATGAAAATATAGTTTCAGGAGTTTTCCAGAAACACATTGCCCAGATGAATATTCTAACCTCAAGTTTCAACTTACCACTGATATATAGATCTCTCAAGAACAGAGAAAGAACAAAGTGCCCTTGTAATTCAATATATGGTAACCAACAGCCTGAGGGTTCCAAAACAAGGAAGGCATTTTTCATATTAACTAAACCTAAGGAACCAAACAAAGTTCTGGGAACAACAAAATGGCCAAGGTTGCACCATGAAGTGGAAAACTCGAAAGAGAGTATCTTCTATATTTCCTAATCCTCAGTCAACTCATTCTGCTAGTTTCAGGAGATCCTGAAATGCCAAGGTATATTCCCGTAGGGCCATATTTAAATTATGGTCCTTGCTCGTTAAAGAAATTGTTTCTCAAGTTAAGTTGAAATTTATTGAGCATAGCCAAGAATAAAGCATAGGAAAGTTTATCTATTTTAATCTCTAGCAAAATCATAGTTGCTCAGAAAATTTGATAAAGCATAAAATCATTTGAATGCATCTCTGACATATCAATAAACTCTAGTTTTTAGAGAATAAATGGCAGCAACAAAAAAAAGTCAAATTGCAGAAGCAATAGAATACTTTGGGATTTAATGTTATTAAGAAATTTCACCATGCTAAATCATATACAGCATCACAAATGAAGCTAGTATAACAAGAAAGAGTATTACGTTGAAAACCAATCCAGTTGAAGCCTGTGGTACAGTACTGCTGTATGGCCATCTACCTCCTCAACCAAACTGCCATACTGGAAACTGCAATCCCACCTGCGAGAGGCACATAAATACTGTGACAGGAACTCTGCAAGTATATGTGGTTGGAATCAGCAAAAAAGAGAAAGACAAGGATAAGTTCCTTAAAATAAATATACAAGGGCTGACAGTTACTATAACTAATACACTTGGAAAGATCCTAGATAAACATGGAATGGAATATACATGGACGTGCACATGGCACTGCCCCAAAAACAAAGAACTTTCTTCAATATCCAATATTGGCAACTAATCCCACCAAACCATTTGCTACCAATGAAAGTGCCAAAGAATTTGGGATAAACATAACTACAAAAACACAAGCCGACAGAAATATGGTTGAGGGATACGTGTGGAAACTAGAAGTGCATAAATTTATTCTAGTGCACAAAAACTCTCTACATATCAAAAGAATGTTCAACAAAAACTACTGAGAATACAAGAAAACCTACTCAAACCGTGTCCCATCCATGCTCATTACTTGTTCAAATATTTCTTCACAGGTAGCTTCAACAACACCCACAGCCTTCATTGCTCTACTACAGCTCCTTGGCTATGACAGCAGACAAAACAATAATGGTAATAAGATCACACAAGGCATATATTCTTTGCAGCGGGGGAATTTGTAAAAGTTTCATACAAGGTATTCAACTTCAAGAAGCTCTTCAAAGATGCGAAGACCTGTCCATCACAAGAAAAAAAAAAGGGAGTTAGATTGAACCAAGATGTTGGTTTTGGATCCTTTCCATTTTCATCTACTTAGTGAGGTTACGAACAAGGAGTTTTTGCGCGGGGGAAGTTACCATTTTGACATTGCAGCAGCCTCCAATGCTTTCTAGAAAATGCTTGATCATTAGCATTCTGGTTTGTTAATTCCAAATCAATTTCTCTAGTCCAGTCAAATACAGAATCAGGAGGGCCTGTCAATTAAGAAGATAAACAAATTGGTGAATAATACATTAATTGAAAATGACTTCAAGATGTTAAGCAACAGAACATAACCATTTCCAATAGTTGTCCTCCGCAACAAATTCGAATTAGAGTCGTCTTCATCCTCTTGAGCACTAAACCTGAAAAAGATTCAGATGTTGGCGAATTATACATACAGCTGTCCTTGATGCTATGCTATCCCTGAGTCAAACCACTAAAATGAAATCGTTCCAATTAGATTCAATAGCATGGAATACTTATTGAGATACAATGACATAGGACAATAGGTCTCTCAAGTGCAGATAATATGCTCAAATGCTAAGCAAGGGGGCGAATTCGCTCAATTATGTCAGCTTCACAAAAGACTGCGAGACTGATGTATACTGTATTATGTGAAACAAGGAGAATGGTTCAAAAGGCACTCACTGACTTTCTTGATCTGAGGACGAAGCAGCCCTTCCATTATCCATCCCCGACTTACACTCAAAGGAGACATATTTGTTACCATTCGGCACCTGGGACTCTTGATGCTGCACACGACCTCAAGCAGTAAGTCAATATGCAAAATAATCTAGAACATAACAATCAAGTCCAGTTTAACCATATAAAAAAAAAATGAGGCAAGAAATAAGAACCCCAACGATACCTCCTAAGTAGATGTAACATACAACACACAACCAAGTACAGTGGGAAAAAAACTAGCTTATATACGGTATACACAACAAAATCGAAGTACAGTTGGCCTTGCCCCCAGAAGCCCAAAGTTCAAACTATAGCCAAAGGAAGATAATGACAACAGAAAACTAAAACAACCAAGTAAACCAACCTGGTCAATTACAAACTGAATCTTTTCCTTCCAGATCAGAGCTTCCTGGATGTTAAATGCTGCCATCTGAACAAAACCGCAAGATTGTCAATCATAGCAATACCAATGAATATAAGCAACCAATAAAACAGCAACACAGCTCAATCTGTAATAAGCAGCAGAAACATCTTTTTGGTATTGCGATTACACAGACCCACCACTATCTAAACCACATTCTTCCTAAGTGCTTGAGAGTGGTAAATGCAACATGTCATGTACCAGATGGCCAACAATTAACAAAAGCTCAAAACCACTTGATAGCACAAAGCAGTATGTGCCTTGTGGAAGTTTAAGTGGCCTAACATGGCCGTAAATATAACATATTTCCCAGTGCATGAAAAGAAAACCAACAAACAGCAATGCAGAGATGCTCTCATGTTTTCATGAGTTCTCCAAAACCGAAGAAAGAGAAACCCACACATGAATTCAAGCTAGCGCAAGTTCTCCAAAACAGAACGAAGAGCAGAAAACTGTCCACCAAGTATATAAGATAAATAATACTGATGACTTCACATATTTAGCAAAAGCTCACTGACCGTGATCCTATGATATTTCTCCTTCTTGTTGTAGACAGATAGCACATAAACCATCTGCAACAACAAAATTACACATGAGTCAACAATTTTTCCTTGGAACTTACCAGAATCAAAGGGATGAAGCAAGTGAATTAAACAGCAGTAAGCTGTCTCTAGGACAAACTAATAAATGAAAAGCCAACCAATTATACCTCCCGAAATTGGTTCCAAGTTCCAACTAACAAAATTTTGAAGCAAGTCAGTAACAATAGTTCTGTTAGATAATGGATCATTTAACCACTGCTTCCTTTCATTTGCCTGAGAGAAACCTTGAACACATATTGGTGTTCAACAGATTACAAGAGTAGATGAGTCGCTGATACACGACCTAGCAATTTTAGCTCCTCTTTTGCAAATGCCGATCACTCTACTCTTTCACATAGATCACAGCATTGCCCGGGAATGAAAATAATCTCTTCTTCCTTCTTATAAGATTATTAACTTTTATGGAACTCTATCTATGTCCCATTGACCAAATTTGTTCTACAGTAGAGAAACAACGACATACTAAAATCTTGCAGAATTTAACCAAAGAGCACCAGACATATGGTACAGGCTATAGCAACCATCAAGTAGGAAAGAACAAACTCACCAGCCCATGATGAGTCTTCAAACCTCGGTCCTCCACCCTACAATTGCCATCGATCAGAAGGGTTTTGATTGGTACCTGAAACTTTCCAGTTTCCATTATCATCCAAAAGAAGGAAAGATTTCTCAATATATATGAGGCATGATTGAATTCATTACTGACTTGACATAGCCAGAAAAGGTTGAGCAAAATCAACCCCATATGAAACAAACAGAAAAACAGGAAGCAGAAAAAACGAAATGAATGAACAGAAGAAAGCTCTTTACACACTTTTTAGAAAGCAAGACAGACATAAAGAGAAAAGAATTCCAGCTCACAGAGAACTAGCTCAGGAACATCATAATTCTTTACTAGGTCAATGTCGAGAAAGAACAAAGGTTCCCCTGGAAAGCTTTGCATCATTTTGTATAACACAAGCACTCCAGCTTTTAAGGCTAAGCAGTGCAGCTGCTTCAACATCTATACACCCAGAACTCTCCACTTTTTTTTGCAACTTTTGCCTAACAAATGGGAAAAGAAAATTTGTAACTAGGAGCCAGTTTTACCTGATTATCCTGCGGTTTCTTCTTGTAGTAAGCAAGAACCCTCGGTTCCAGTACAAAGTACCTCATGTGAATGAAGGATCGCCCGATCTTCCTCCTCCCATACCGCACCATCCACCCTTCGTATATAACCTTGGACATTTTTCTTGCTTCTGTCTTCCTATACCTCCAGAATCGCCTCGCGTACAAGTGACACTAGTTTACAGTAGACTAAACGCAGAATTTGGTCACTTTTTTGCTTTGTTGTTGTTGTTTGGAGTCTCGCAGAATTCGAAGGTCGGATGGAGGAAGATCGTCGCTTCCTTTACTGCGAGATCACCGTCAAAAGTCTCAGGTGGCCTGATGGGTCATAGCTAAAAGGTGAAACCCCGGCCGCGGCCGGTGTTGGCGCGATGAATCCCAATTCAGGAAGTCTGAAACCTCTTCAATTTCAGCATCGGCGGGAAACTCCCCAGAGGCCGAAATCCTACTCTGAACTTTAGTTTCTTTCCAGAGTCAAAAGAGGGGAGAAAGAGAGAGAACGGAAACGGAAATTTGAGAGAGAGAGCGTCCAGCAGTAGCAGAAGAAACAAGAACAGGGGGTGGGTGAAGAAGAATTCAACTGTAAGGGAGTGAAGTCGGAGAGGCCGATTTAGGGCGCGAGTCGCCGGAGGACGGGTGGAAGCGCAAGCACGAAGACCAGAAACTAATGCCGGCGGTCCAGATGGATGGGCGGTGGTGGGATTTCTGGAAGGAGAAGATTCTGACGGACAGAAGGACGGAGCGAGTTAGAGCCTGGTTGGAAGATCCCACACGACGCAAGGCAACGTTTTTAAAAAAATTTGAAAAGAAAAGGGAGAGAAATTGGGACGTGCGCGGTCGCCATTGGTGGGAGTTTTTGAGTTTTCTAATTTTGCTGCTGGCTTGGCATTTTCGGGCACAGTATTATTATATATTTTTCGTTCTCCGGCAGTGCCGATGCATTCGGTAAATACCACATTTGGTCACTGAAATTATTAAATTGTGTCATTTTTAGTCACTAGAAAAATTTAATATTAATTTTGGTCACTCGAATTATTGACACAGTTCACATTTAGTCACTCTCCCGTTAGCCTTCATCCAACTCCAGTCACTCGAATTTTTGAAACATGTTAGGCACTCGAATTACTGAAATTACTAAATTGTGGCATGTTTACTCACTAAATTGTGTCACATTTAGGCACTCGAATTGTGTCATGTTTACTAAATTGTGTCACATTTAGGCACTCGAATTACTAAATTAGTGAAACATGTCCAACTCCAGTCACTCAAATTACTGAATGGGTAAATGCCACATTTGGTCACTGAGATTACTAAATTGTGTCATGTTTACTAATTTGGACGGAACCTAACGGGAGAGTGACTAAATGTGACATGTTTCAGTAATTCGAGTGACCAAAATTGATATTAAATTTTTCTAGTGAGTAAACATGACACAATTTAGTAATTTCAGTGACCAAATGTGGCATTTACCCATTCAGAATCAGAAGTCAGAACAAAGCAAAAGACTAGCAGACCGGTGTCTGGTGCGGTGGTGCACCACTGCCCGAACTCTCAAGTAGCATCGCATTCGCATAAGGTAATGACCTCACATCAAACAAAAACACAAGTATAAAATTTTTGTACTTTGCTACCGTAACTTGTACTTTTCGGTCGATTGAAGATAAAAATGGCCGACCGAATCTGTTGTTTCAATTTTGTGACGCTTAACGACTCGACAAATCTTTTATAGCAAATGGTCGACCTCTTTGGCAAGCGAACAACATAAAAGGTCGACCCCATTATCTCAAAGGCCACCATTTTGCTATTACAAGGTCGACCTCATAAATGAAAAAGGTCGACCTATGTTTCATTAATTGATCAACATCAAAGTCGGAAATATTTAGGAAAATAGTAGAAAATGTCGACCTGACAAGTATGTGGTCGACCGCGTGCACACCGTATTCGTATTGGATAAGGATTCCAACACCAGAATGGTAACCCTAACTTGTCTACCACTTAATTCTCTCTAATCTCGTCATAAATATCTATAAATACGAATATATGTCACATTCACTGCCACCGAAACTTTGAATTCGGTTTTTTGTACGTTTAGAGTTTTGGTGAAGAAGAAGTATGTTGTTGTTCTTCATGTTCAGGGCTGAGAAGGTCGACCAAATAAAAGTTCAGGACGACTGGATATAGGCACCATTTGTGGAACAAGATTGGTTGAAGGTGATATCTCTCGATGTACCATACTACCCAAAATGGTACAATACTTCTACAACAACATCGTCTATCAGTGTTCTGCAAATGGATTGATTCATGCTTATAAAAGCTATGCGAATGGGGGTGGAGATGCGTATAAGCAAGAGTGTGTTGGCAGCAGTACTGGAGGCTCCAAACCAGGGGGAAGAGAATTGATTCTTACAATGCTTGGATGTGGTCTTGTTGAGGATCGCAGTAGGCCAACTATTCGCTAGTTGACAGTTCAAGCCAGAGTTGTTCATCACATGCTCTCCTACAACATTCTTCCAAAGGGTGGACATTGGGAGGCAGTCACCTACTTTGACATGGGGCTCCTCACCAACCTGCTTTCACATGAGAAGGTGAACTTGTCATACTTGATATTTAAACACATGCTTGTTGTTGCAGAAAGTTCAACCATGAATCTTTCCTATGAGATGATCCTCACTTTGCTATTTGAGCATTTTAATGTGGATTTAAGTGGTGAGGTTGGCTTAAGAGTTTCAAGATAGGAGTTCTATATAGTTACATCTATGAAGAAGATGGGATTTGAGCTGCATGATGGTGAGTATGTCCGAGCATACAATCCTCATGTAGTCCATGGTGGTGGTGGTGGTGGTGATGATGATGATGATGATGATGATGAAGAGTCTGGAAACGAGCCAATGGTGCAACCACAGAGTTCAACTCCACCAGTCACCCTACATCGTATATGGGACCTCATGGATGGCATGTACGATTACATGGGGAAAATGTCAACTCAGATGATTTTCATGCACGACTACATGGGGCAGATGACCAAGCAGACCAGATGAGCACACTGCAAGTGACTACAACAGAATACAAGATGAGTTCCGATTTTCACTGAAAGATACATGCATCCGACTACCATAATGCTAGCACCGCCAGTGAGGAAAATGCGTGAGTGAGAGAGGGGAGAGGTGTAGGAACTCCACGATTTTAGATTGTATTTTTTTTTTTTTGTTAATTCTTAAAGACGATTTGGTTTGAAACAACTTTGATTGTGGATTGATATTATGTGGTTTCGATTTTAGGTATGTGTGAACAATTATGAGGTGTGTTTTATTGTGTTTATTATTAGCAAGTTAAGTTGTTATGTTATGAAGTTATGGGACTTTACTATTATGATTTAGGACTGATTATGTTGGTTTCAAACGTAATTTGTACGAGCAAACGAATCACCCACATCGACATACATAAGCAAAAAAGGCAAAGGTCATAGGCTGATTTTCCTGTATAAGGTTGACCTTTTACTGTATGCGGTCGACCGCGTAACCAACACTTTTGATCTTCGTTTCACGTCAAATGGGGCTAGATAAATGGATAGAACTTTACTCTTCTATCTGATCGACCTCTTTCTGTAAATGGTCAACCATTTCTGTAATGACTGCCATCAAGTGGTCGACCTCCATACTTTACAGTCCACCATTTTTCTTCTGACTACAATGAAAAGTCCGGCCAAAGTTTTATTGTGGTCGACCATTAATGTATCAACTTAACTTAAAACTGTCAACCACTATATTTTAATGGTCGACCGTGATTTTTCATCAGAGTGACTGACCACCTTAGTGAATTCGGTCGACCACAGTTAGGAATAGGTTGACCGAATTGTGCAAGTTATGATGACTTGCAAGGCACCATGGGGTACCCAACCTTTTTTTAATCCAAATTAAACAAACTATTAATTGTTATCCCATTAAATATATTTTGACCCGTTTGCCTAGGTAGTTTTTTATATCCTATTATATTATGTATTCGTTGTCTGGTTCCATAATTTTGATTCTCTCAAAATTGTGCGATGACAAGTTGAGTATTTTGGTTTGGAGTGCAAATCAAGATGGCTATGTTTACGAGAGTATACATTTCAAAGAAAAATAAGTAGTGATATTGTTGATGTGGTATTTGCACTCAATTTTATTATTTTACAAGTTCTTGACATCATCTATCTTTTTCTCGCTTGGCCAATGTGTGCATAATTGGTCAACATACATTGTTGTGATATTAATATGTACTAAATTTTATACATAATTTTAATAGAATAGTGTATCAAGACATATTGAGTTTTTGTTAGTGTTAAGCATAATTAAGGTAAGAGAGACCATCAAAAAATTTGTTATGGAGATAATTGGGCAAAGAAAAAGAGTCAAATAGTGGGACTGAAAATGAGAGGGTAGTTTGAAATTTAAAAAAATGAACTAATTGGAAAAAAATACAGTAACCTCGTATTTGGAGAATATCAGCCCTCTCCTAGTATTTGTCTAATAACATTTTTGTGATATTTGGAGAATAACATGTATCAAATATTGCATCTTTTTTCCCCAGCCAAATGTGTTATTTGGTCACTAATACCACACTCAAATAACAAATCTAAATGACCCATAAAACTATTTGAAAGAAGCAATGTTATTAAAGCCGGACCAGCCGATTCGAGCAATAAAAATGCAAATCGGACCCAATATCTACCCATATGATACTTTTGGCCCCTTATTGAGAGCATGGCGGCCAACAACCGGTGCAAATGGTTTACAAGACAAACCGTTCAAATTGCCCAGCCGATTCTGGTTGGATTTGTGGATTCATGCATTCGATTCATGGATCATTGGCAAATTATAGTTTAGTACATATAATATTTATTTTTACATTTTGGTACCTAAAATTTAATGTTATTATACAAAAATATTATTGGAAAATTACATTTTGGTACCTAAAAATTTTCATTATAACATTTTAGTACCTAAACTTTTCACATTATACATATTGGTCCAAGGTTGAGGATGTCATCATGGATAATCCACCAATCCACGTGATCCAATCCATTTGATCCATGGATCCACCAATCCATTTGTCACTTATACGCACAAGACAACTCATCAACT